TGTCACTTTAAGTTGGAAAAAATTCCCTTATACCCTTTCCGGGGTGTAGGAAAAAATGAGGTGTGATACCCTTATGGTCATGAATTTCGAGGTCGAATTCTTACAACAGTAGCACCCAACGAATCAGGCGCGGCTTAGACTCCTTTTTCTCAATTAGGTACTTGAGTGCTGCATGGTCAGTGTATACAATTACCTTTGAACCAATCAGATATGATCGGAACTTGTCAAACGCAAACACCACTGCCAACATCTCCTTCTCTGTCACTGTGTAATTGAGCTGTGCACCGCTTAGCGTTCTGCTTGCGTAGTAAATCGGGTGCATCAGCTTATCTTTTCGCGGCCCCAAAACTGCTCCTATAGCATAGTCGCTGGCATCACACATGAGCTCAAATGGTTGCTCCCAGTTGGGTGCAGTGATCAATCTCTTCTTCAGTTCCTCAAATGCCAACCTGCAATTATTAGAAAACACAAAGGGCTGATCCTTTTCAAGGAGTTTGCATAATGGGTTAGCAATTTTGGAAAAATCTTTTATGAAACGCCGGTAGAATCCAGTGTGTCCAAGAAAACTTCTCACCGCCTTGACTGAAGTGGGCGTTGGTAACTTCTCAATCACGTCAACCTTAGCATGGTCGACCTCAATTCCTTTACTGGACACTCGATGCCCCAGGACTATACCTTCTTGTACCATAAAATGGCATTTCTCCCAGTTTAGCACTAAGTTTGTCTCCACACATCTTTTAAGCACTCTCCTTAAGTTGTGAAGACAGTCTTCGAATGAATCTCCCACCACGGAGAAATCATCCATAAAGACCTCCATAATATCCTCCACCATGTTTGTGAAGATAGCTAACATGCACCGTTGAAAAGTCGCGGGTGCATTGCAAAGCCCAAAAGGCATTCTCCGAAAGGCAAAGTGCCATACGGACAGGTGAAGGACGTTTTCTCTCTATCTTCGGGGGCTATTGATATCTTATTGTACCCCGAATATCCATCCAAGAAACAGAAGTGTGATCGCCCAGCCAGCCTGTCCAACATTTGGTCAATGAAAGGTAGGGAAAATGGTCCTTCCGGGTGGCTGTGTTCAATTTCCTGTATTCCATGCAGATACGCCACCCTGTGATTGTACGAGTTGAGATCAACTCATTGTTCTCATTTTTTACAACAGTCATTCCCTCTTTTTTCGGCACACATTGGACAAGGCTGACCCAATTACTATCAGAGATGGGGAAGATGATTCCCGCATCTAACCATTTGATTATTTCTTTCTTTACAACCTCTTTCATGAACCCCTGGAAGGTCTTTGCCCCTCTTCCAGGAGAATCTTATGCATACAGAAGGCTGGGCTGATACCTTTTATGTCTGCCATGGTCCAGCCAATGGCAGTCTTGTTTTCCTGCAGTACTTGTACGAGCCGTTCCACCTGTACATCTAACAAACCGGATGATATGATAACAGGCAAGGTCGAATCAGGGCCTAAGAACACATACCTGAGGTGATCTGGGAGTGGCTTCAGTTCCAACTTGGGTGGTTCCTCTATTGATGGCTTTGTTGGAGGAGTGGCCCTTTTTTCTAGCTCAAGGGACTCGAACTGAGGTTCCGTTGACCAAAATCCTCGACCTTCCAGTGCCATGACCCATTCAGCTAACCCTTCACCATCCATTTCTTCTAAATTCGTCAAACATGCCTCCAATGGATCTTTTACAGTTAGGGTCATATCATCTTCTTGCAGGATTACATCCACTGCTTCCATTAGAGAGCAATTAGTGTATTTACTGGGTCTCCTCATAGATTGCTGAACATTGAATATGACTTCTTCATCATTCAATCTCATTTTTAATTCCCCAGTTTCATAGTCGATCAGTGCTCTCCTCGTGGCTAAAAATGGTCTCCCTAAAATAAGGGGTATCTCTTCATCCACCTGACAATCCAAGATAACAAAGTCTGCAGGGAACACGAATTTCCCCACTTGTACCAACACATCATCAAGAATACCAGTGGGCCTCTTCACTGTGCGGTCAGCCAGCTGTAGCAGCATCGAAGTTGGCCTAGCTCTACCAATGCCCAGTTTGGTGTACACAGCCAGCGGCATCAGATTTATGCTGGCTCCCAAATCACACAACGCCTTTGCAAAGGCATAACTTCCAATTGTGCATGGAATAGTAAAGCTACCTGGTTCTGACATCTTTTGAGCCATCGGTTTTGCCACCACTGCGCTGCACGTCTGTGTTAAAGTTACAGTGGATAGATCCTGAAAATCAAACTTCTATGACATTAGATCTTTCATCATCTTAGCATAACCGGGCATCTCCCTCAAGGCATCCATCAAAGGAATATTCAACTAAATTTGACGCAGCATCTCCATGAACTTCTTATATTGGTCTGCCTTCTTTTATTTGACCAGTCTCCGAGGGAAGGGTGCAGGTATCACCCTTTGTGCATTGCTTGCTGGCTTCTCTCTGTTAGAATTTTCTGGCACAAGAGGATCCACCTGTTCTGCAACTTGCTCATTCATCTTTTCTTTGCCTTTTTCCTGCTCAATCATCACTTCAGTAAGTTCTGTTGGTTTCTCTACCTCTAATTGAACTGGAGTAGCTGGTGTAGTGTCCTTGCTGTCTTGTGCAATTTCCTGCTCTCTATCTAAATCTCTCCCATTCCGGAGACTTACTGTCATCAGCTGATTCGGGTTTTGGTCCTTGGGGTTTATGTTTGTGTCTGCAGGCAAAGTTCCATGAGGACGGTTGTTCAAAGCCATGGACAACTGACCCAGCTGCGTTTCAATATTCTTTATGGCTGAGTCATGCACTGCCAATTTTTCCTGCACTTTATTATTTGTTCCAATGAGTTGCTGAAGCATACCCCTGATTTCCACCATGTTGTTATCTTGCTGCTGAGGGAGTGGTTGGTATGTCAATTGTTGCTGATTTTGCTGTGGATAGCCATGTGGTTTCTGATATGGTACTGGCACCAATTGATTTTGAGGGTGCATACCCCTAGGCTCCTGCATATTAGGCCTGTACTGCTGATTTTGCTGCAGTCTCCACTGTTGTGCTCCTTGCCTCTGACCCCCATAGTTGTTGACATAATTCATATCTTCCCTTGCCCCTTGATTTTCACCTTCTCCGCTCCATGAACACACATAAGACTGATTAATACAAGGTGTACACAGTCCCCCATTTGTTGTATCAACAATGTGCACCTGTTTTGTACCCATCTCATCAATCTTCTTTGTCAATATGCTCATCTGGGTCATGAGTGTGGCCATGTTCTCTGCATGCGAATTATTTGGGTCAAGAGGAACTGAATGCACTATGGGTGCCAGTGTTGTACCTCTAGTCATCCACCCCGAATTTTATGACATCTTATCGAGAAGGATTTTGCATTCAGTGAATGTTTTACTTAAAAATGCACCTCCAGCTGACGCATCCACATTTGCTTTCAAATTGTCAGCTAGCCCCATGTAGAATCTCTAGCCGAGCATCTAGTATGGAATGCCATGGTGAGGACACTTCACTAACATCCCTTTAAATCTTTCCCAAGTTTCTTGCAAGGACTCAGAGGGTTGCTGCCTATACTGCAATATGTCATCAATTTGTTTTGCAGTCTGGTTAGGCGGATAGAACTTGTTGAGGAACTGCTTGACTAATTCCTCCCAGGTGGTAATAGAGTTGATAGGGAGCGAATTTAGCCAAGTCTGAGCTTTCCCGGTTACCGAGAATGGAAATAGTAACAGCTTGATAGCTTCCAGAGTTGCATTTGGCTGCCTTTGGGTCATACAAATTGACAGAAAATTCTTCAAGTGTTGTTGCGGGTCTTCAATGTGTGACTCGGAGAACAGTCCTTTATTCTGCAGCAGATGCAGTATGTTGTTGGTGATCTGGAATGTCTCCGCTTGAATTGCGGGCACAGCTATGGCAGTGGCCAGATTATCAGTTGTGGGTTGTGCCCAGTCATAAAGTGCAGCTTCGGGCACAAGAGGTGCTACCCTTCTGACATTTAAGTCAGCTGGCTTATTCCTGACGTTTCCGTTGACGTTATCTACGTCACCCATGTCAAATTCGAGTTGGTGTGATTGTTGAGATTGTTGAAGTCTTTTGTTGGCACGGTTCAATGCCCTGAATGTTTTCTCGGGGTCTGAGAGTCCTTCTAGCAGTTCTCCAGTCCTCGAAAAACTTCTAGGCATACACCTGCTTTCCACAAGAGTTCAAACGTTAGAATTTCAATGAAAAGATTGGGTATAGAGAAAACTAACTACACTTAGAATTTTTGTACTTCTCTCAATTGTAATTGATAACACCGTTAATTCCCCGGCAACGGCGCCAAAATTTGATAACGCCAAACTATGCCTTATACAAAGACACACGCGGACGTAGCAAATATAATCTGAGTAATTCTGCCCAAAGTCGAACCATAGAGAATTAACCTATCAATTACTTTTGACTGATTTACTAAATTCACAGAATCAATTTCCCCAAACTTTGTAATTCACAATTGATGATATTTCTAACAACTAAAGTCTGAAAATAATTAACAACTGAAAATTAACTATGCTTGATGTGTAAACAGTTGGAATAAGGTCTAAGGTAATGGTTTCCCTCGTTGGTGATTTCCTTGATTGTACGTTTCTTATAGCGATGCCTTAGTTGTCTCTATCAATCAAGAACTCTCCGGCTATCATAAATCTCTCTCAAGCAATTATGATAATTTACTAGACGCACTCTCTCAAGCTACGCTAACTAGATTCACATTACCGTTCTTTTAGATTGCACTCGAGGTATCGTTATCTCTAATTCAATCTCTAAACCCTCGGTTATGACTCTCGTCTATACTCCGGGAGTGATGTTGTTCAAACAACTACCTAAATATGCACTCTCTCTCAAGAAGATACATAATAAATAGGAACGGATAATTGAGGGACCTTTCAACTAACCACAATCAAAACGTAGATGAACAAATAGAGATTAACAACCAATTCAAACTATATTAATATAACAACCAAGTCATCCCCAACGGGTTTCACCAAAACTTTAGATTAAAGCATTTAGCTACTCATGACAACGTAAGAATAAACTACGAAAATATTCATAATGGAAAATCGCAAAAAAAAAATAGAAGAGAATAAGAACTATGATGTTTTGGGTGATCTCTCACACTTGTTCTTCTTGCCAAAATAATCTCAAAATAAACTCTCTCCTCTCTTGGGCGAGTTTCCTACATCTTATAAGGGTTTTACAAAAGTTTTCCCGAATTGACACTTTGGCCCCTTAACTTTCTGGACTGTGAACCTGCCGCCGCGGCCGCCGCGTCGACCGCGGAGAACACTGACTCCAATCGCGGCGCGGACTGCGGTGAGTATGCTCGGCCTTTTTGTCTCCGCGTTCCTTCTCTTTTTGCTCTTTTGTGTTTGGGTACTTCTTGAGTGGGTGTTTTCTTCACGTTATTGCCTCTAAACACTTCATGTTGCTTCCTCGCATCTTATATTCCCTGCGAAACCAAATAGCATTAATTAAAGCATTTTATTGGCAACTTACATTATAAAACAACAACAAAGCATGGACAATTATGGTGTAAATAACAACTATATAGCCTATTATCACTTCACACGGTGCAAATTCAAGTTAGTCAAAACCTCAATACGAGTAACACTGGATGGAAAACAAAAAGAAATCACTATAGATGCTAAAATAATTCAAAAGGATTGATCTTCTCAAAATTATATTTAAGGTTTACAGTCCTGTTTTTGTTTCGCCCAAAAACGAGCAAGAGATGCATCAGCAACATTAACAAATCAACAATCTATAGTTGATTTGAAGTACCTAAACAACAACAGCAACCAAAAATTCCGTATAATCCCATAAGTGTGGTGAAGGTAGTAAGTACGCAGCCGTACCCTACCTTGTGCAGGCAGAGAGGGATTTGAAATACCTAAAATGGAAAAGAAAACTTTGCGACGTTCTTTTACATTGTAGTGCATTAAACAAACTAAAGATGTTACAAGTAGAACAAAGTTTCATATATCTCCAATGAGTATAGCACGTCGATAACCACTCATGTATGGAAATAATACAGCGTAAAACGGATCCCAAATTTAAATTTGATGGGTTCAACATTTAAGTTCTTATGGCGGAACCCATTACACTTTTGAATCTAATGGTTCAAAAATCAAACTCTTTTGAAATCTTAGTGATTTTTCACAAAAGATCTATATTCTCTGTTGAAAGTGTTGGATTCAGTAGAACCTGTTGATTGTATGCTCCATCCGCCACCGATGCAAAGGGCTGTGAACGTTCTCGGCTCTCATTTCAAAAGATTTGAGCTCCATTCTCTAGATTTATGGCCTCATTTATGTTCTTAGCCAAATCTGCAGCTGTTCCAATATAAGTATGAGGTGTTAAGCTCCATTCTCTAGATTTATGGCCTCATTTATGTTCTTAGCCAAATCTGCAGCTGTTCCAATATAAGTATGAGGTGTTAAGTTCAAGAGAGCTGTCTTCGCATCAGCCGGTATGTCCAATTTTTGTATAAAATCTCTACAAATTTCTTTGGTCACTGTTCTTCCTCGGGTTAACGCCTTCAGTTTCTCATACGGCTCTGGCACACCATACCTTCGCATCACCTAAACACCAAACAAAAACAGAACAAATAAACTCTGTAAATTTCATCAAGTTCTATTAAGCCGGGAACATTGGAGGGGCTCAAGAATAGTGGGCCGGGGCTCGAAGATTTCTTGAAACATATCCTAGCAAACACTATCAGCATTACTACTATAATATGTTTCATCGATCATAAGGGGAAACTCAAGTTTGGAATCTAAAACAATTGCATACACACAGCAGGTTGACTAATACTAACAATGAGTCCAGATAAAGCAAAAGCTGCATACCGTTTGTATTGGTTCAGCAAGAACCTCCCAACATTTATCTAAATCTTCACTCAGAGCAGCTTCATTCACCTAGATTAAAAACCGATAAGTCAGAACAAATTAATAAATTGATAATTCAGCATGAGTGCGTGGACATGTGCAACGCAGTACAGTAAGGGCAGCCCGGTGCACTAAGCTCACGCTATGCGCGGGGTCCGGGGAAGGGCCAGACCACAAGGGTCTATTGTACGCAGTCTTACCCTGCATTTGTGCAAGAGGCTGTTCCACGGCTCGAACCCGTGACCTCCTAGTCACATGGCAGCAACTTTACCAATACAGTAACTTCTCCAAATTATCTGCATCCATATTTTACTCATTGTCATGTGAGAAAATAGGAGATGTACATTTTATAGCAGTTGGCTGTCCAAGCATCTCGAGATATACAGGAGAAAGGATAAGAAAGGAACTTATACGACGTGCAGTTTCAACTTGTACTGCTTACCTGAAGCTTATGAATTCCCTGTAGTGCACTTCTGTAAGCAAGAAGAGAATGTCCTAGTCCTACTCCCATGTTTCTCAGAACAGTTGAATCTGTCAAATCCCGCTACAAAATGACAAAATTTGGATTAGAGAAAAATTACGAACAAGATAGATGGAACTGAAACAATCAGAATAGCAACAGAGCCTACAAACTATCATGCTCTAAATATGTCTTGCCTTCGCTACACTCAAGATAAAGATAAAGACAAATATGACCGGATTAGACATACCTGCCAACGCGAAATAGGTAGTTTAGTGCTCAAATGGGATAGATTTCCATTAGCTACTCCAAGATTGCCTTCACTATTTTCAAAGTCGATTGGATTTACTTTGTGAGGCATCGTCGAGGACCCAATTTCACCAGCTTTAGTTGTCTATGGAGCATAAAAGAATTATGAACTCCATTATCCGGCAAAAGAATAATAATAGAAGATATCCAAAATGTTGGACACTCACCTGCTTAAAGTAACCCAGAGAAATATACCCCCAAACGTCTCTATCAAAATCAACCAAAATGTTGTTAAACTGGACAATCGAGTGAAAAAGCTTGGCCATATAGTCATGAGTTTCGATCTGCATTACAAGGAAATCGAGTCAGAAGTTGAAGAACAGGTTCTAATTCGGTAATGCAAAATTATGCACTCATTCAGAAGGAATACAGAACTCTAATATATAGTTCCTCCATTCCATTATGTACGAACACAAAGTTTCCTTTATTGTCCATTTCCAAAAGATCAATGCATTTCTATATTTGGAAACTCTTTGATTTTAACATTCTCATTTTGCCTAAATGACATGGTTTTATTGTGCCATGTCGAAGACCACAAGATTTGTGGGTTATTTTAGTATGTTATATATATTTGGTTTAAGTCTTAAAAGTCTTTCTTTCTTAGTCTCTGTACCTAGTCAAATACTATCATATAAACTAAATCGGATGGAGTGCCTCAAAAACAGCTATAAACCTCCCTCTAACTAATGAACAAAGCTCAACTATGAAATGAATTATGCAGCATCCAACAGAAACAATTAAAGAAATGGCACAGTAAAACTAATGTAGTGCTGAAGAAACGAAAGGAACTTATCTGTAGAACAAACCTGAGGAACATATGGATTGAATTTTAATCCAAGTGACATTACAAACTCCTCGGCAATTTGTGGCCAGTTTACTTCAGGATATGCAGCTACATGCGCATTGTAATTTCCTACAGCACCAGCAAATTTCCCGAGCATCTCAATTTGAGAAATTTCCCTTCTTTCCCTGCTTAATCGATAAGCAAAAATTGCCATTTCCTTTCCAAGGGTTGTTGGTGAAGCTGGCTACAAGTTGCAAAAGAATGAGCAATGCTTTGAAAAGAAGTGTTCAAAAATTATTAAGAAGCAAACTACATTTTGCAGTCACTAAGCATATATATGAATGACCAAGGCCGGAGCTAGAAGCCCTTCTACGGGTTCGGCCGGACCCGGTAGCTTTTGTTCAAGTAGTGCATTTGTGTTAAGAAGTTTCATCAAAATATGTACAAATATTAAATTTAGAACCCAATTATTAGCACTTGAAGTCATCATTCTAAAATCCAAAACCTATAAAATTGAAATCCTGGCTACGCCTCTGTAGATGACCACCATTTTCTCAGAGGTTAAGCTTCTCGTATCAAAACCTATTCAAAGTACACCTAACTAGAGTATGTATGGGGGAAAAAATTATACCTGCCCGTGGGTGCGAGAAAGCATGGGAACAGAAGAATATTTTGTGGCCATGTCACAGATCGCTCTAGTCAATTCATCCATGACTGGCAAAATGACCGTGTTCAAAGCTCCTTTTAGCATCAATGCATGGGCAAGATTGTTGATGTCCTCAGATGTACAAGCAAAGTGAAAAAACTCGAGCACCTACCACAGAAACAAGATAAATTCAGAGTTAGTTACATCACATAAAGATTTTGGGTCGATAGTTTTCACATAAATCTCTTTAACTCTAATTTCCTACTTAGAAAGAAGATGAACGTGTAAAATATGCCAGAGATTTATCCATACCTTAACTATCTCTGGATGTGATTGACATCTTTGTTTCAAGAAGTATTCAACTGCTTTCACATCATGGTTCGTGACTCTCTCAATCTTCTTAACTTCCAAGGCGTCATTCATACTAAATTCATCGATCAAGTTTTGCAAAAATGTCTGAGCTCCTTCAGAGAAGTTTGGAACTTCAGAGATTTCATGTATTTGAGACATTTTTAACAACCATTTAATCTGACAAAACAGAGACATCAACAGATTAGTAGAACTTTGTATCTTTTTGAAAAATTCCAAACGCAAATGATCTTGAAATTAGACTTTAGTGACAGATGGTCAAGGGGGAAAAAGTAACAACCTCAACCAAAACGCGGAAACGAATTAAGCCAAACTCGCTCATAAAAGGAGCCAATTCTTTGACTTTACCCCAATAACGTCCATCCAATGGGCATAGAGCTGATAAACTTGAGAGTTCTAGATCTTGAGAATGATCAGAAGACATCCCTTTGACCTGAGAAGTTAAAAGGATATGATGTCAATAAATCATATAACAACAACCCCTGCAAGAAAAGAAAAGATCCATCGCTCCAGAAAACAATAATAAGAAAATGAGTTGAGTACTGATGCACCGTACACCAAATATGAACTTGTCAAAAGGCACTCATACAGCAGTCACGCACATACAAAGAGCAACCTTATGCCTTAGGTACCGTAATGAGTGTGCTTAACATTGCAGCATACTCGAGCAGGTGATACTACTCTTACATTATCAATTACCCGAGGTGTAGCCTAACTGCCAGTGAAGTGGGATGAAAACTATGAAAGGCCACAATTCAAATCCCAACAGAGAAAAAGAACTTTAGATGATTTCTTCCTCTCTGGCCACGCTTTGGTGGGCAAAGCTACTCGATACCTGTGTTGGTAAGAGTTAAGAGGTACCCAATGAAATAGTTGAGGTACACACAAACAGGCATGAACATCACCATTATAAAAAGAATTACCATAGAGCACATGCTACAAGATAGCCAAACAAAGTCTGTTGATATAAGTATCTACAAATATGCAATTCCCTTATAGACACCAAATTGACTAGTCTCTTCCATAAACTGCAGAAAGTTTAAGAGACATAGGTTTCCTAGAAGCACATGAAGAAAAACACAACAATGGTCAATGAACTGTGGGGATGCAAGAACACTAAGTGATTTCTTACCATCTGTCCAAGCTTTGGCGGACACACTTACCCAGTATCCGCGCCTGGTAAGAGGTAGCGGGTCGCCAGGTACCCGTAGAATGAGGTGCGAGCAAGCTAGCTTGGACACCAGGACACTCAGCCCAAGGAGGAAAAAAAAAAGGCCAAGCAAACATCCATAGAAAACTAATTTTCACCAAATCGAAATAACTATTTTACCCCACCAGTGCCTGAACTTAACAATTTGCTAAAAGCAGAAACGTACCCGTATACCAATATACCCATTGACATCGTAACTAACAAATATATACATGGGCATGGTTTTTTCGTCCAGATTCTTCAGTAAAAGCTTGCTAAACATAGAATCCAGCACAAAAACTAAAAGCATAAAAAGAATATTTTTTTGAAGAAAAAAAAATAGAAATGTCAAGTAGAGTAAATAGCATTGAAATTTCATCTAAAAAACAAGGAACCCAAAAAAAAAAAAAAAAAAAAAAAAAAAAAAAAAAAAAAAAAAACCTTTTCTTGAGTTTTCAAGGAGCTAACGATGGACCCTTTAGCAATTGCTCTGCAAGAACAGTTTTTTATAGTTGGGAAAGAAAAGTTAAAGGGATTGAGCAAAGAATTTGGAAGTAAATTGGATTTTTGGGTAATGGGGACTGATAAAAACATTGTTTGATTGATATTTGAAGAATTGAAACAAGTTCTTAGTTCCATTTTTTTGTTAAAGCTATAACTCCATAGCTGGAGTTAGGGGTGTTAATGGTTCGTTTGAGATCCCTTTTGTGGATTTTTCAAATATTAGAACCAAACCAAACCAATTAAGTCGGTTTTTTATCGATTCGGTTTATGTCGATTTTTCGATTTTTTCGGTTATTTGTCGGTTTTTTCTTAAATATAAGACATACATATTTCAACGACCACATTTTCAGCGTAACACTATCAAGTCAATTGCCTTTTGAGAAATCTATTATTTACCAAGATATATTGATGATAATTGAATTTAAGAACTCAATTAAAAATATATTATTTTTAACATGAATAGATTCTTACACTTAACAAAAAAAAACTACCAATCAAACTAGAATGTAAAGGTAAAGAACTGTTCGAAAGGTGCAAACGATTAACATTTACTATAAAATTTTTGAAATTTTGTATAAAAGTATACATATATATATAAGTGTAATAATAAATTTAAAATAGTTACTCCTATATTCGGTTTGGTTCGATTTTTTTTTTGATTAAAACCAAAACCAAACCAAACCAAATTTGATCGGTTTTTAAATTTCAAAACCAAAACCAAACCAAACCAAACCAAAAAATATCGGTTTTTTGGTCGGTTTGATTCGGTTTTTCGGATTTTTATGAACACCCCTAGCTGGAGTGGTCGGAATATGGCAAAATAGAGGAGTGGCGTCAAAGGTATAGGGTTTTAGCACTATGGTAGCGTGGTCTTAAACCACCAGTGAGAAAATGTCAAAACTAGTCCCTTATATTTAGGGGTTGATTTAAATAGTTCTTCAAAAATGTACCTTAACCAATTTTAGTCCTCTATGTTTTATCAAATATGTATTTTTAACAAATTTAAAGGACCAAAAATACTCAAAAAATTATTTTAAACTTACCCGCAAACAAAGAGACTATTTTGTCATCTTCTTTAAAATACGTGAGGTGAAAAAGAAAATCTTATTGCAAACAACCATTAACAGCTTGTTTGGATGGTTGTTACCAGCTGTATCGTATCGTATTATTACTTTAAATACAATGTTTGTTTTGATTGTTACTTAAATTTTAATGTATCGTATCATTAAATTCGTCGTTACATAACAATAAAATGTGTCACTTTATGTTACGACATTTGGTGTGGTCACGTCATTTTTTTGTGTTTTTCTCTCAATCTCACCCTTCATTATTATTAAATAATTTTATTTTATCATTTACCCTACCTTTTTATATATTATCTCATAATTTGTCTTTATAATATTGCAAGTTTATTCATCATATTACTGGTGCATGATTTCTAGCGATGTCAAAAAATATTTTGTGGAGCTAAGGGAGTTTGAACCAAAGACCTTTTACATCAAACTTGAAGATATCAACCGCTAGACTATTGAGCTATTTCGATACAAGTGGTGTTACTTTTAATGGTTTTATCTTATATATATGTATGTATGTAGTAAAGAATTTCGACGAAGCGATGTCCCGTGACACCGCTTGGGTCCATGTAAATCCGTCCATGGCACTCCATAATAGAAAGTTTATTATTTATTACTTTCATAAGGGAACCAAAAACTTTTAACTAACATCTTGTTTGGATTGTTGTTACATGTTGTTTCATGATATATCGTATTGTATTGTATTATATTGTACCGTATCAGCATTTGTCACACACTAACAATATGAAGAATAAACTTACAATATTATTTAAAAAATAGGATACAGAGTAGAATTATTATTATTAAAAAAAGTAGGATAAAATGTGATTATTTAATAACAAGGAAGAGGCAAGATAAGAGAAAAAAGTAAGGTAACAACGTCGTCATACCAAATTCATTATTATATTAAGTGACACTTTTAACGATATGTATAATAAAATTTAAATAACAATCAAAATAAAAATTATATTTAAAGTAACATTACAATACTACGGGTAACAACCATCCAAACAAGCTGTAAGGGGAGTAATGTCTTTCATTCACCATATCTCTAGAGGTGAGAGAAGAAAAGTTGTAGTAGCATTTAAGTTAGGAGGGTTTTGACATTTAAAACAACGTTTGAGGTGATCTTTAATTAGTTTAAAATAAGTATTGTAATCAATCAATAAAAGTTATATTTCAAATAACTTGATTTAAGATAATTTTTTGGAGAGTAAAAAACTGATGGGTGAATTCCAATTTTATCAAAACTAGATAAGCCTAAAACCAATATTTCTAAACTATAGGGACCTAAATGATCATCAACAAACTATATAACTAAGAAACAGCTGATAAAATAAAGTCGTACTACCCTTCAAACTACAACAGCTTCTAATATATCCATAAATATAATCCAAGATACAAGGTATAGAAAAAGAAAAGGAGTGTGTGTCTGTGTGAGGATAATAATGTTGATAACAGTCAGAGAAGTTGCTACTACTTCTTCTTCTTCTCTGCTCTTCAATTCTCTCATTTCTACTAATAATAATAATTCCAAGCAGCTACACTCTCTAAAGGTAAATAGGTTCACTCCAATTTGTAAAGTTAGCAGCCTCAGTTTCAATAGAAAATCCACTAATACCTCTCCCCCAACATGGAATCTTGGCCTTCTTCACTCCACAAATAGGTACAAATTCTTGAAATTAAAATATACCCTTTTGTTCTTTTTGCTTTTATATGCTTTGAATTTTACTCAATTTTGATAAATATTTCAATTTGATATATGGTTTGAAGATAAAGATTGGAACTTTCTCACTGGTTGCTGTAATGGGTCTTGTTTAGAACTTCTAATTTATTCGTAAAATATGTTGTCAAGATAAAGACTTGAACTTTCTCACTGTTTGTTGTAATGTGGTACGTGTGATGGTTGAAGGCAGCAGGTATACCATGTAATTAATTAGTTACGTGCAAGCTGGCCCGGACATCACGGTTATAGGAAACAACTATTGATTGTTTACTTACTTTATCTGGGGTTATAGTACTTAATTTCATTTAATTCATTTGTTTTTCGAAAAAAGTCCTGAACTTTCTGATTGTTTCTTGTGATAATTCCTGTTTAGAGCTTCTAATTTCATGGAATTTAAGACTTCCGTGTTGCTTTTTGTTTTTTCTAGGATTGTATTATTTAATTCATGTTGAGTTTGAAATACTGTCTTGAATTAGTTTTCCCTGAAAATAATTCCCAAATCTTGATGTTGGTTTGTTTTAGACAAATTGTACAATGGTGCTATTGCTAGGATGGAACTTGTAAGCCTGTTTATTTGCAGTAGAATAATGTGATTAAATAGTTTCTTTTATTTTACAATGGACGAAGTTCGCCTAATTCCTGACTTACTAAGTGCATTACATGCTTTCATTAATTTAATTATTTTTGCAACAATTTCCATAATCTTTAGTGTTTTCTTCTTTCTGACTGTTATCCTCTTTCTCCAGCTGTGATAGTTCAGTATTTGATCCGTTGGGTATCAATTCAGGTAAATCGTCATGGGATGATTTGGTGAGCTTTTTCTTTGAGACATTTGAAAGCTCCTCAAATACTAGGAAAGACAAAACTTCATCAGCTCGAGGGTTCGCAGGTAGGCTATCTATTTACGATATTGAGTTTTTATGTTGTTGATTACACTCGCATATCTTAGCCTTTGGTTAGGGTTTCTTGTCACTGACAGCTGCCATTGAAGATACTAGCATTGATTTTGGTGACTTCTTCAAAGGCCCACTACCAGGAAAATTTTTAAAGCTATTGGGCTTTTTGGCTTTGTCACGACTCGGAATCTATATACCGCTTGGTGGAGTAAATCGGGAGGCCTTTGTTGGCAATTTAGATGAGAATAGTATATTAAGCACTTTGGATTCCTTTTCTGGTGGAGGCATAGGTCGCCTTGGAATATGTTCGCTAGGTATTGTTCCCTTCATCAATGCACAAATTGTGTTTCAACTTCTTGCTCAAATCTACCCCAAGTTGCAAGACCTTCAGAAAAAAGAAGGTGAAGCTGGAAGAAAGAAAGTGCTTCAGTACACTCGCTATGCTTCCGTTGGATTTGCCGTAGTACAGGTAATATTGTTTTTCCTAGAAAAACTGATATTCTCCCTCAGTGTCGGATGCAACGCATCGGTACCGAATTTCATTTGAACACAGTACTTTGGACGCGAAGCATAAATTTATGTCTAAAAGTTCACTAAAATTGCAAGAAATAGTAGATATGAACCCATAGAGCTTAAATCCTGGATTCGCCTCTGCTTTCCATGTTCCATTTTATGTGACACTCTTTCCTTTTTAGCTTGTGACAAAAAGGATGACACTTATTTATATTTGAAAAGAAATTAACTTTAAAGTTTTATTTTACCCTTAATGACAATCTTTTATAGCCAATGAAATATCATGGCATGTTTAAGTCCACAAGTTATAAAAGTCGTACTTTCTTTCTTAAATTATGTACTTAGTCAAACACCGCCACATTAGATGAAACCTAGGAGTATTAATTGAATGAAGAAGCATTCTCTATATGAGATATTTCGTGCACAATTGAGTATTAGTAGTTTGCTTCAGTTTGATTCTCACTTGTACATTGTAATTGAGGAATTGTAGTTCATGCATAAATACAGAGTCAATTTGGCAAATTACGCTTATCTTTGATTTCTGCGGCAGGCAATTGGCCAAGTATTATTCCTTCGTCCTTATGTCAATGACTTCAGTACCCAGTGGGCAATTTCTTCTATTGTTCTCTTGAGTCTCGGCTCC